GAATGCGGACCTTGTACGCGCAGATCAGGTTGTCACGTTAGTCACATAAAGGCACACAGCTGAAAGAGGGGGCGATGTGTTAACTTGGGAAGATGAGGAAACCCTGTAAACGCGTCCGTATAGCCATGAGAGCTGGTCATGTTAACTAGATCCAACTCGTCTTACGAGCCTAACTCAATGTTTCCAGGCCAAAATTTTGTATGCATTTCTCATCTCCCCCAGAACGCTATATTCCTTGCCTGTCTCAGCTTCCTCAATTTGTTCACCCTACTAAAACTCCGTGGTTTTTGTCCGCAAGCGAACTATACCGCCCGAGCTGCCGCCGCTTGTCGGCGAAGTTAGTGACAACTTTTGCGGATAGGGGGTATCGCGTAGTCAGCGCAACGATTCCCCAATGCCGTTAATCTCGGTTTTCTAGACCGGAGCCGCTGTTTCCTTGAAATAGCTCCTCGGTTATCCTCAGTGGACTCCGTTCCCGACCAAATACTAATAAATGTTTTCATTTGAAGCGGATGTTACTATCGCAAGTAAAACCCCGCTACTTAATACACTGGAAGGCGAAGCCAGAAGCAACGGTGTGAATCAGAGTCACGCTGTCTTGCTATTCACAATCTACCTCATTACTGCAAAACACATAATCGCATCAACCCAAGTGCGCACCAGGACGGTTCCTACCACCTCACTATTAACTACACCAAAATGTGGAAGGTGTACTGCTCATTTCCACGTATGTCTTCAGAGAATGAGTTACGATGGAAAAACTTTCATGTAGAAAAAACGTCAGTAGCACCCAAATCCAGCAGCCCGACTGGTGTCAAAAGCCATGGTATCCGTTTTAGATGTTCGTGATGATTGTATATTAATGTAGTCACGTATATCCGGGGTAACGTGACTAATAATTGTGGATTCTGGGTTTCGTGACTCTATTTATTTGACGTCACTGTCACAATCACACTCGGTTATAACAGTTCGCACACTCAACTCCTTCTGGGTACCGAATCCCTCCCTGCGTAGCTGCTTCCTTCTCGAAAGCGCGTTGATTCACTGACGAGTCACTTATCCTTCTTCTTCCGCGTTGTCGTATTCTGTTTTATATCCGCTTGGCGTACCAAATAGGGGACACCGAGTCGAACAGTTCATTTCCCGTTGTCACGAATATGAGACCTCCCTTGCTGTCAGAACAAACGTTTACCTAGACGTTGTCATGGAAACGACACCTCCACTGTACACGAAACGTCTATGTATGTTGCTTAGGAGACGTTTGTTTAGAAATCCTTGCGTATGCAATTGATTCACATGACATATTACAATTACTGACTTTTTGGGCATTACCCATTGTTCTGTTTTTCTTTAAAAAAAGAGAACGGCGGATAATGGCGGAAAGTCAATAATTGTACGATATCTGGTGTTTAGGAAATGCCTCTACCTATATTTAAGTTGTCGCCGTTTTCTTTCGGGCCGTTTTAAGTAATTTATTTTATTTAATTAAATAGCGTAAATTTATCTGTATAGGGTGTTTCATTCAAACCTCCCACATTTTATCAGATCTTAGAACAGAAAAAAATGAATGGTAGGAAAATGAAACTATAGGAAATACAAGAACTCAAAAAATTTTGTTTGACACACTAATACGCCTCTACATGTGCAACATTGGTGGCACGAACACTATCCAATCTATATTCAATTTCTTGCCACGTTCTTTTCAACATGTCCATTGGTACAGTAGCAATCGTTTCGCGGATGCGGGCTCGTAAATCTGGAGCACGAACACACGGTCCTTCACCTAACCCCAGAGGAAGAAATCGAGCGGAGTGAGGTCTGGTGAACGTGGTGGCCACCGAATTGGTCCGCCACGACCAGTCCAGAGATCTTGGAAGGTGGCATTGAGAGACCTCCGAACATCCAGACCCAATTTTGTTGGAAGATTATGTTAGGCTGCAGATCGGCTACCTGGGAATACAGGAACTGTTCTAACATGTCAAGGTATACGCGGCCAGATACTGTAGCTTCACTGAAGAAAAACGGAAATAAAATTCTTTGAGATTTTCTTTCATCTAGTGTTAATTATAATCAATAATTTATCACAATTTGTTAGCAATGATTAATTAAAATGTGGGAGGTTTGAACGGAACACACTGCATTTTAATTTTTGCGACATACAATGTATATATTTATATATAATGCATATTCGGATATTAATTAAGCCATATTGTGTCTTTTATAGCGTCGTATTTCTTTGTCTTGCGTTGGCAATGCGACGTTTCATTGGAAATTTCCAGATGTCAGGACACCAGTGTGTCGCCCCCTTGACAGCTCTGTATAACCATCATTTTCCGAACTCAAAATTCGAAGGCGACATGCCCCAAGGTGTCGCCCCTGTCGAAAAGGAGTTTGTAAGTCCCAGTCAACCAAATGTGTATTATGACAATTATGACGCAACTGCCCAGTTAGAATGTAACCTATCTGCGAGAGAATTGCGTATTTTCTGTAAAAAGGGAGAGTTCATGTTTGTAGCATTGTTTTCTCCGGAAACCTAGCTCTCAGAGATGAAGATCGCTTAGCGCCACCTGTTGGAGCACGGCAAACGTGTGCTGCTCGCCGTCACTGATTTCTACATTAAAGTTTCAAACTGAACTTAACGATTATATATATATATATATTGTTGCGTATCGGGCGTATATCGCGACAAATAACTTCACGCCGCACTTGATGTAGCGAATTTTATTTCACATTCGCACTTACAATCACCCAAATTACAGATTTACGATTACTGCTATCTGCAGTATCACAAATAGTACACTCCAAATGCCAGAATACAACTGACTGGTTGCTGGCTAACTCGGAACTAACTGTAGCTCGAGGACTCTCTCGTAGGTAGCTCCAGGACTGACTCGTAGGTAGCTCCAGGACTCACTGTGAATAGCCTTCGCTGCGCCTCATGTAGCCTTGATCGGACAATTGCCGTCTGGTGCCGTGTTGCTAGCCACGCTGTCCGGAGTTGTTGACTGCTGCCTAGCAACCGCGATATCCCTCGGTGACGTCACCGCCGTTGATTCGCTTTGCATAGCTTCAAGGTCGCGGGGACTCGGCTAACGTCGGCTCCGCTCATGACGTCACCGCGCGTTGCGCGTTGCATAGCTACCAGGATGCGGGGTGATTACTCGCCTATTACGCGAGCGCTACGTTACCGCTACGTGCAGCTGGGGAGGTAGGGGTCAACATGTCACAATATATATATAAATCACTGGAGTAACATACGTAATTCAAATTGTATGTGAGTGAAAGTTCTGTAAGCAGAATTCATTTAACTGCAAGATTTGGAACTATGAAGCTGCCAAAATACACGGATAAACAGTAAATTTTGTTGCGTGTCTTCACATATTTCATTGTTAACTGTTTCGTGGTATATTCTAGTGGTGAATGAGTCAATCTCCGTACCAATGATGTTGGTAAAGTTAAAGTTATTATATTGTGACGTGTATACCCATTGTTTGGCAACGACTCGGTAGACACATTCCCGCGGGAGCATTGCTAGGCAACGGCGCTGTAAACGTGCTTCGTCAACATTAGAGACTGCGTGTTTTGCTTGGTCCGTGCCAAGGAGTTATCTTGAAGACAACTGGCGCTAGAGGGAAGTTGAGGTTTCCGTTATGGAGGGCTAATCAGCGAGCAACAGAAGCTAATGAATTCGTTACCAGGAAACGTGCAGTGGAAACACTGCTGAGGAATAGCCAATGTGGTGAGCCGTTACCAAGTAAAGATTAGTGGATGTAGACCGAGAAGACTTTGTGTGGAGTGATTTGTGGTGTGGAAATGAGCAATACTGGCATAGTTATTTGCACTTACGACAAAGTGGTGAACAAATGTAGTCACCAATCCAACCCCCGTTTACAGTAGCAATACATATAATTTATCACCGTACATGTTGAATTTCAAATCTCGGACTTAATTTAATGTTTCCTTCAGATCAGATAAACTTATTTTTGTGATGATTAGATACAGCACTCTGCAATTAAATCACTGTAATAAGTATTTCGTTTGGTAACCTTTGTAAGCATGATAATTTACTGCTAATTTCGTGAGTGACGTTGATTGGGTTTGTGACAGTACATTTTATCTACTTAATACAGATACCAATTTAAGACCAACGTCAAAGCGTAAAGATTTTATTCATGATTGGTTTTTCATTCCAGTCTTGTTTGGAAATGGAGTAGTCCGGGGGGGGGACTGTCCTTCAACTTGACGCTTGCTTCGGCTTCCTTATCAGACTCAGATGATAGCGCTGTTCTAAGAAACTGCATATTGGATGTCTCAACATGTGTGTGTTTGTGTAAAACTTATCAGCTCGCCGCCTTACTGGACAACACTTATGTTTACTGTTATTTGTTGGTATGAAACATTACGGCAAATCGACGCGTGTAAGTTGAGGCAACTGGTTTTAACCAGATGCCTACTCACGTGTGGTACTGTCGATGTAGAACGACTATTGTTATTTCCAACAGTTGTTCACTGAACATGGCAGAAAGATGTCGGATGGGTAACGCGAATCTTCCGCTGCTTCAATAGCAATACAACATTCATTCAGGCGCCGTATTTTTGCACATGATACTGGAGGAACTGAAAACTTGGCGGCTGGCTAAACCTAGCGTACCAAGAACGCCAACTATGCATTTCGCTTAACCAAGCCATGGAGAGAAATGCCACTACCGTGTTCGGGAACCAGGCATCGCCGTGTAACGACACTACACCCAAGTCCAGCAGACCGAGTCATGGCATCGTCATCATCTGATGCCACTACGTAATTCCAAAAGTCAGAATCACAGCGGCATATCCTAACGGTTACATCCGATATGGCCAAAATGCCACTAATACATCTAATTTTACGTCACGAAATATTAAACCGTGACTTTCCTTGGCGTGCTTTGCATTTGCCTTCAATAAGCATTGTGCAGCTAGTCCCCATACTATACAGTACACACGGACATACGAGTACAACCAACCTGATGCTCTGTCCTACGAATGGGGTGTCTGGGCACACTGTAAACTGCACAGCCATTTTCTTCTCGCAGTGGGAACTCCTGCGCTACGTACCTGTGAACAGGCAATGAAAATAACTGTTGATAGTACAGTTGCCCTTGCGCTTAATTAATCACAATGCCACGAACACGTATAATGAAAAGAAGGTACAACTCCACCCTTTCTTAACCTTGACAAGATTTAGAGGTGAGTGGCCACCTTCACGCCTCGACCGCTTTAACCCAGAGGAAGGAACGCCGGTATCCACTAGATAATAATACTGATTCAACACTAATAACACTAATTCATATTAAATCTAGCAACCAATGAGTGCGAAAAGTGATCTATAAATTATTAAAATTTATGTTCCGTTTTGTACAACTTGTGCGACCTGTTTATGAAAGTATTCTTTTCAGTGATATTACTGAAAACCTATCAAACCAAACCAGAGAACATTAAGAGACGAAACCTTGGCTGCTGGGAAGACATGGGGGGAAATAAATAACAACTCAGCTAGAACCGTGTGAAATGGCGACACTTTGTTAATGCCCTAGGCTCCAGTGGGAACTAAAACACGACGATGATGATGATGAAACCAAACACCTTTATTTTATTTGCAGAAGCGCCTCACTCTCTATGTTATCCCTGTCGAATATGCACACGTTATACAGAGAGGACTTTTAATTTGTTGACCGGTTCCACGGCTCTGCGCTTCACGGTGACCGGTGCACAGTCGGATGCGAGTTGCATATGAATTTTCCTGACGAATCAGCATTCTTGAATTCACAGATCACAAGAGGTGTTGAATACTGTCCTCTCTACACGTAGATATCTTTCGCATTTAACTGTTTCGTTAAAAACACAGGTACAGCAATCCTTATACTTAAGCAGCTTTCGTTGGCTGGAGCGAGAATTCGTGGGTTAGACGTGGATTCTGTGAACTCCAGTAGCGATTATTTTGCGTATTTATGTAGCCCTTCAAGTGAAACCACGTTTCAGCAGAAAAGAATGTCAATTGCGGAGGGAGCTCACCTTCGACGACAGACTGTAGAGATCAGCTGCACAAATGAACCCTGCTATCTGGATCGCGCGGCTGTAAGACGTGCGTGGGTTACTGTTGCTTTATAGGGCCTAGGCCTCAACAATTGCTTTGCCGTTCTTGCACTAGACTCTTGACACTCCAGTCTCTTAAGCTAGATGTTTCAGTGATTTTCTAGGTGTATGTTCAAGACTGGCCCCTGTGTCATTTAACTTCTCCTCAGTAAGCATTCGGCACTTATGTTTTGTTTCTTGTCTATTAAGAGCTCCGTTGTTCTAAGTTTATTCACCAAATTGTGGAGTGTTTATCTGCTTGGAACCCATTCATCACGAAATGTACGTCTAAATTTTCGCCTACACTTTCTGCTGACTACTGCTGACAAATCCTAAACAAACTCCCTCATATGAACCCCACTGCTTGCCGTGAAACATAATGCCGTCAAGCGGACCACATGTTAATAATTTCTCTTCTTTCCAAACGTTACCAGCCACCAGACATGCTGATTCATCGGAAAAATTCGTATGCGGCTCGCAGCCCGCGGTGCACCTGTTGCCGTGAAATGCAGGACCGTGTGGCGGCCAACAAAGTTTAAAAGCTCTCTGTATTTCATAAATGCAGTTGTCTATTACTGGGCTATCCTTCTTACACTTTGTTTCCGATGTTACCCGTATCCTATTCATTCTTGAAAATGATTTCCCGCTATGACACCCGACTGGTGTAGATGCTAACATTAACTAAAATATATCATAACACCTTCAAATGATGTAAATTACCCTTGTGTCCAAACAGAGCAAGTAGTGGACGCGAAGGGACTGTTCCACGCATGGTCACTTCACGTCTATCTACCTATGGCTCCACAGCCCTTTCTTGGGCCTTGGCCGCTCTTTCAGTTTTTTGATCTTAATTTTACGCAGTCGGTAGGACTCCTTGGAAGGGGGATCCAGCAGTACAACGCATGCAGTAACAGGAGCAAAACACAACACAGAACACGATACACAAATATATGTAGGAAGAATGCTCACATAAAAGAGGATTGGCGTAATTCGCGTGTTTGAGTGCGACGTAGGAAGAATCCTGAAAAGTTTTATTCATCGTTTAGAATTCATCGTCCTATATGACGAATACAGATTTTAGTCATTTTAGAATGAAGACATTATGGCATGAAGTACAATAGTTTAACGTGCATAAAGACACCTGAAGATGGCACATTAGTGCTGAAACATGTAGTGTTGAAGTGAAGAATAAGGTGAAAAAGTGTATACACTGTAAGACGGTCAGCATAAACAATGGACATTTACGCAGTCGGTAGGACTCCTTCGAAGGGGGATCAGCCAGTTGCAAGGCCTCTACCTGCACACAGGACAGCACAAACGGAATAAACGCACACAGGCATCCATGCCTCAAGTGGGATTCGAACCCACGATCTCAGTGCTCGAGTGGGCGAAGACAGTTCATGCTTTAGACCGCGCGGTGACTGTGTTCGGCTGGTGACTTTATATTGGCATCACTTTATTCCCAAGGAAAGAGTCCCTGGTGGGCATAGCATAAGTCTCAAGAGTACCTTTCAATCTCTTCGTCGAGCGGTAGGTCTCGTCTTGTGGGTGGCCCTCCAGTAGGAACGTATTCGTTCTGGGCTGGCAGATAGAGTTGAGGACTGTCTGAAGTAGTCATGTATCCAGATGCTTGCCCGAGTCACATCTCCCTGCAAACTGAAACACCTGTTCACAATGTCACTTGTGTACTTGTCTACAGCTTGTTCATGATGCACGTCTGTACATTTGTTTACATTCTGCCTTTCGGTAGAGTGGTATAAATGATTATGAAACTTCACAACATCACAGCAATTCGTAAAGCAGCGCAGTCCAGAATCATGACAGTCTAAGTAGCAGATGCGCATGTTCAGAGGCTGGTTTCTGTAGTCAAAATGGTGACCTGCTTCAGGGTTTAATATTGAAGAGCAGGATTCTATTCTCCGTTTCTTGTGTGCAAAATGACTCAATGCAAAGGATATACATAAAGAAATGTTTCCTGTTTACGGTATGAAGTGATTGTCGCGTAAAGTGGTTCATATCTGGGCCGAAAAATTCTCTGTAGGACGTTCAAAAGTCGCGGATGATCAAACGGAGGTGCGGAAGTGACTGAGACAACAGTCAACAGACCTCTATGCTGTGGGATTCGGCGCACTGGTAAAGCGATGGGACAAGTGTATCAACGTTGGTGGAGGATATATCTAGAAATAAATATTTCTGTCAGGTTCACATATCACATGTTTCATTTGTAACCTATTTCTTGACTCTCCCTCGCATTATACCGGAGAATTTCACTAAAGTTGTCGAGTAATACCGATTTTCGCCCTTGACCCACAATAAAGATATATAAGGCCTCAAATAAGCCTAATATACTGAATTTTGTGTACTATATTGTGGAGAACATTATGATAAGCTTGAAATATGATGCCATGTGATCCCGTAGAAATTAACTGACTTCCAAGAAAGCACTGCCCTCTTCTTCGACAAAATAAAACCTTGTAGACGGTTCAATTAAATATGTTATTCTGAAAGAATTTCAGTCCAGGTATAAGTTTTATAGGCAGAGCAATGACAAAGCCACGGGATCACGTGTATCAAGTGGCGTCATCAAAATATCTGTATAGGAATCAGGGGAGAAACTGCTTTGGGAAAACTGCGTGCAAATTTTCTTGCAAGATCTGCGGATGACATACTCATTCTAACAGTGAAAAGACAACGTGACAACTAATGATGGAGGAGTATGTTAACATGCACCTCGCAAAGAAATTCACAGTAGAAAAGGAAGATGAAAATGAAATCAACTACTCAGACTCTGCAGTACACAGGAAGACAGAGAGATTGAAAGTGCAATAGACAGGAAACCTGAACAGCTGCCATGAAGTGAGCCTATGCGTTCTGCGCCATTCCACTATTATCCAAAGTTCCTGTTACAGGTATCACTGATTCAGGCAAGTAATTCTTTCTACGAAAACTCTTCATAAGGCGAAAATTCGTAAATCGAAAATTATATTCCCATTGTGTAAGATTTGAGGCTTTCACGGCGGTGACTATGAAGAAAGCAGTCTTCTGGGATTTGGCACCGTGGTGTTAACCGACGTTTCGGAGGAACGTATCGCCTCCATCTTTAGGGTAGAAGGAAAAATATAAGAAATCCGCAAGCGAAGAGACCGTGAGACCAGTCTGCTTTTACCGGTTCTCACGGTCTCTTCGCTTGCGGATTTCTTATATTTTTCCTTCTACCCTGAAGATGCAGGCAATACGTTCCTCCGAAACGTCGGTTAAGACCACATATACACGGTGCCAAATCCCAGAAGACTACTTTCTTTATATTCCCATTACTTAGCATGCAAAAGTTGCAGACTCGTTCATGCGTCCCTGAAAAAAATTCCTTAGTATTTTTAACGTAGGCCTATGTTTTAAGAGTAAATAAGCACTGAAATTAGGACAGTATAATTTATACTGTATATGATATTCATTGTTGCAAATGAAACCGTGTTAATTTTTAGCTTTTATTTTCTGACAGCTGGTGCAATGCAGCGGTGCAGTTTCCTTATCATGTGGACCTAACCTCTCATCGCGATGCCAACGGATACAAACGGGTATCTCAGGTCTGCGGCTACAGTGAAGCCAAGGAGCACTCTACGTTGAGCAACAATTACGATAAATGCAGTAGATAAATGTTACAGAGAAAAACATGTCTCTTAATATTTATGGTACGAATATGTTCCCACGTGTTGTTTATGCATTTCTTAGTCAAAAATAAAACTTACGTAATCTATGTAAGATTTGAGGCTTTCACGGCGGTGACTATGAAGAAAGCAGTCTTCTGGGATTTGGCANAGACTGCTTTCTTCTTACGTAATCTGTTCACTGTACCGAAAGTTCGTAAAACGGGGGATACTGCACATTCAGACTGTCGCGGGACCTCTCGTGTCGAAATGCGACGTTGAGAGTTACATATTGATACGAGTGTTCATGTACGTTAACCTCGTGAAATATAGAGGGTACGTTTCGTCGTGAATTTCAGTACATTTGCTTCAAACAGAAACCATCAACACAGTATAAATAAATAGATAAAGGCGAAGTTCTCACTGAAAACGCACGCATGTACAAAGAACTGAATCAAGACCATCAAGACGTCGAGTTGTCACTGAATAGAAAGTCCATACAAATGTTAGGTGGGTCCTTTGTCACCACGGCATGGCGCGTCCTCAGGTTGCGGTTGGAGGAGACGGCCTCCAGATATGGAGGGTGGCTGCAAATTTATTGAATAAGCCATTGTGGACAGCCGACAAGGGGTAGTCCTGCAGCTTGAGGGTTACGTGTGCAGCTGACAACTCAGTGTTACAAAATGTCACAAAGGTCCTCGGACTTGGAACAATGAGGAGTTTCATAACTTGCACTCTTCGCCAAGTACAATTAGAGTGATCAAGTCAAGGAGGACGAGATGGGCAAGGTACATAGCACGAAGGGGTATGAGAGGAATGCATATAGGATATCGGTTGGAAAACCATGAGGAAAGAGACCACTAGGAAGACCAAGACTTAGGTGCGTGGATTTTAAAGAAATAAGATGGGGTGGTATGGACCGGATTGATCTGGATCAAGACAGGGACAAGCAAAGGGCTCTTGTGAACATGGTAATGAACCTTCGTGTCCATCAAATGTTGGAAATTTCTTGGGTAGCTGCACAATTGGCGGCTTCTTAAGCAAGGCGCACCTCCATGAATTCAGTCAGTCAGTCAGTCAATCAGTCAGTTATTTAGGCCGAAGTTTCCCCTTGATAATGGCTTGCTCTATTTCAGAAAAGTAACTTAACTTTTCGAAATTTTATGGAGATGCAATGCGTGTGTAACAACAGAAACTACTGAAAGTTTTTTTTTTTTTTACTTTGTTGACTGGTTCACGGCTCTGCGCTTCATGGCGACCGGTACATGTCATTCTTGGCCAGATCTTTCCGCGGTTAACAGAAGAAGACAGACTCTATGGCTGGTTTCCGCAAGACTCAGCTACTGCCCACACTGGACGTACGTCTATGCAGGCTTTCGGGGACAGAATTATCAGCAGTTATATTTGGCCACCGCGTTCACCTGATCTCGATCCTCATGGTTCTTTCCTCTGGGCTTATTTGAAGGTCAAAATTTACTCAGAAACACCTGAACGGAAGAACTAAAGGAAAATATTCGTAGGGAAATTGCAAATATTCTTGCAGAACACCTTCCAAGGACAAATGAGAAGCTCCTCCGCGGGTGCAAGGAGTGCCTACGCGTAGAGGGACGGAATTTTCGACACCTCCTGTGATCTGTGATTTGTAACTACTTCATTCCGAACGTTTTCGGCCGTCAGGCATCCTGATTCATCTGCAAAAGAGCCTCGTAACCGGAGGTGCGCCGGTCGCCATGAAGGGCAGAGTCGTGAACCAGTCAACAAAGGTAACAACCTCCCTGTACCTGCATATATGCCTACCACCCAAGTACTCCTAGTTCTATATATACTTCGACGGTAATTTACATCTTATTTTAATATACGGAATCTTTCCCGGCGAACAAAGTCACCTTACTCTCTTACCGTCAGCTTGTCAGCCGAAAACTTAGGCCTCATCTACCGACAAAACCGAGTCAAGATTGGCCGCTAATATGCAGCAGCCTGTGAATACGGACAAGCGTTTCTTAAGGTAAACAAACTATAAAGGAGAACTGACCTCCACTGCAGACGCTCAGAATGTCTTTTCTGTCTGCTCTTATGTAAATTTCAAGCATTTTGAACAGATTGACACCAGACTGATTTCACCGGAATTGTTTCACAAATGCTGTGCCTACGTTCATACAATGTATGGAGGTTATTTCAACATATTTCAATTTCTATGTTTCGCCAGAGTTAAGAATCACAGGCATTTAAGTGTGGAAGCTTGGCAGGCCACAATTTGCGATTTATCAGTTTGTTTTCAAACATCTCATTTAAAGCATTAATTGAACGATTAGCAGTGCGTACAGGTATTGTAGCACCACTGTGTATATTTCTTCTTCCGTGGCGCTCTAAAAACAGGGTTGAAGAATGTCACTGACAGGTCGCTCTGTTCACAGAATGTGGGTCCTGCTATTCGTGTAGCAGTAATGGCATACAAACTAATCTTCCCATCGTGAGGGGGTACTCCATCTAGGATTAGCATTGCTCCAATATCTATTGCTCTGGCCAGTGACACACCCACTCAAATGAACCAAACTTCGTTAAAAAATGCAAGTTTCGGGTCAAGGGGACTGTCAGGTACTGCCCACAAAAACGGGTTACAAAAAAATGGTTATCTTGTAATCGCCATTCACCGTTGCTTGGACGTGTCTAATTTTATGTGGCCGCAGACACCTCTCTCAGTCGGTCCCCACGCTGTTGTGGTGGCAACCTGTGCTTTCTGAGCTAATCGCATCGGGGATTTGCTTAGCGAATGCTGTAATCTGGCTGCAATTTATACAAGCTTTTTTTTTTCTCTGTTAGCACAGCCTTGCATGTTTCTTGTCTAACGAAAGACCCAGTTGAACGCACTTTCATCGCCAGTTCGATATTCGCTCATGAACTGGGACTTGAACACCTTGATACTTAAGTAGAAACCTTCTTTTGAGCGATTTATATTTTACATCACGTGAGAATCGTACAGGAAAGCCCGCTGTTCAAGTGTGCATTTCACCAGTACTGTGA